CCATACCCTATTATGCGATATGAAATGCACGTGTTAAGGGTATTATAGATTTGGTGCAGCTGAAATCAAAATTTAAAATTTTATTTTTTTCCCTTTTTACGAATAAGGGGCAAATGTATTTAATGATGATTATGATGAATGAATGAAACACACAAATCATACGCTTGAACTGCAGTGATTGAACAATTCGTTTCAAGCAATCATTAATATATTATATAAATACATAGCAACACATATACATACATATAAATATATTTGTAAAATATTCCACTGTATTATCATATTTATTATAATTTTATTTTTGGAATTTTGCTTATCAATATCCAATAATACACAACACTTCCGCTCTAAAACGCCCATAGTGACCATTAACACAATGAACCACGCGCAAATTAGAATATTTTTGTATAAATTTGCAGACAATTTTTGAAGAAATCAAAATCACATTTAACGGCATTCGTTGGCTGCTTTCGGCTTACTCATTGCATTCATCACATTTTTCTTATTGCAAATAATAATTTAGTTTTTTATGTTCAGTTCATTGTATAAAATATGGAAATGTTGTTGTTGTTGTAGCGGCAGAGTGGAAATCAAAGCGTGCGATTAGCATTTTCAGAGATACACAAAGACATGTACACACTTGTATAAATATTTCTTAATATTTTCGGTTGTCTTCCACGTCAGCACAGTATTTTATTGTCCAAATCAACTTTAATTAAGCAAATGATTTGAACCAACTGCATATTCTTATAAATCCATAAACAAATAAATAATCTATATTTATAGTGTGGTATTTTCATATTCATAACTTTGACAAGTGTATGGAGTTTCCACACACCAAATTACCAAATTAGAATGCATATACAATTCTATGTTTATTCATTAAGAATATTGTTAGCTTCGTAAAATTAAGAGTATTCTTAATTCAAATTCATTATAGTGCTATTCTTCTTACGAATTTACTATACTGTAAAATTCTAATTTGAAATCGAAGGTTTTACACAGTAGAGCTAAAAGTAACTATCAAGACCATCACAAATTGGAGGGCATTCTAATATAAACGTGTATTTTCTTATTATTATTGTCTTAATATATTACATTTATTCAGATAATTGGTTGGTTAAACTAAGCCGTTTGGTTCTTTTGCCTTTACATTGTGCAATATAATTAAAATCTTCAGTCACAAATGCATAAATCAGCATAATAGTAACCTCACCTCAATAGATATTGTCTTATACTCCACAAGACTGCTCAAATTTTTCAAATTATTTCACAATTTTGATATCTGGAACTTTTTTTGGTAATAACTCGAAAACAAGTGATTCGATCACCATGAAAATCAATTACTTTTTTTGGCAGGTAAAAAATTACCAAAATTTGAGTAAAACTTGTAATTCGTAACATATCTTCTCCGTTTAAAAAGGATTTTTAGGTTTCATCCACGAGGAAAGCCGGAATCACAGCAGTTGATACGTTTTATAACTCAAAAAAATACTTTTTTATTCAAAAGTTTCGCTGTGTCTTATTGAAATTTTTAAAATTAAATTAAATCACCTAAAAGGTTTAATGCTCTATCGAAGATGGAAGATCAAAAACCACATTTTCGTTATATTTTACTGTTTTTCTAGGAAAAGGGTAATAGGGCGGAAATAGTGAGTGACTTATAGAGTTTAGTCTTTGTTCGTAAAGAGGGAACTTTACTTTTCAATTGCCTACTCAGTCCGAAGTGACACCTGTAGACAAGAGTTATTCTGCGTTAGATTTCGAACTTAAAAGTGTTGTTGGTGTTAAAACTGGTTACAAGATAAACGAAATTATCGACGACTTCGAAGTTATGACTGCCAACTATGACATGGGAGCCACGTTGTTTTTTTTTCACAGGAGATATTTCGTCTTGCCCTCGTTCAAAGGTCAATGATATCAATATCATCGGAGTACGCCATTAGCTGTTCACTCTTATAGAAGATTGTGCCTTCCCAATTCAACTCTGCTGCTCGAATTATTTTCTACACCAGTAGTTGCACGATAGGGAGTCGCATTGTATGAAACCCTATTTAGTATTGAACGGCTCGGAGAGGCTATCCTGTCGGAGCTTTTGGTGTTGCTCAACATCATCACACAGCCATATTAGCTTTGCAGGAATACCAAGTTGAGACATAGCGGCTTTAAAGGTGGTGTGTGCCGTTCTTCCTTTCACGGGTCTTTTCCAAGATTTTGGATCAACATCGATTGGGGAATCGTGTTTGCCATCTTCACTTTCTCTGTCATTTAGCAGGCTGGATAAGTGTTCGCTCCGTAATTTTAGTATGCTCTGGTTATCAGTCACAAGATCACCTCTGGGTTTTTTACACGAGTATGTATCGGTCTTTAAACCTTCCGTTACTCACCGCATCTTTTCGTAAAATTTTCAAGCATTACCCCTGTCGGCCAGGTTGTCAAGCTCTTCGTACTCACGCATTTCGGTCTCTCTCTTTTTTGTCTGCAAATGCGTTTCGCTTCCTCCTTCAACTCAAAGTATTTATCCCATCCCGCACGTATTATGGTGTGAGTTTGAAATGGCGTCTCGCAGTTTCTTTATACCCAGTTTCTAATGAGTGCTCCCAGAAAGCAGTAGTGCAAAGCTAGTGGAAAATCGTTCAGTTGTCTTTTGTGATTGTAGCTCTTCGACTTCTTACATTCCTTGTGTTTGTTGACGTGCGTTTTTTGCAGCACAGAGACGGGTGCATATCTCGGATGCAATAAGATAGTGGTCCAAGTTAAGACCTCTAAGCGTACGTACGTCTAAAATACCAGAGACGTGTCTTTCGTCTATCACAACATGCTCGATCTGACTTGAAGTCGATCAGCCTCAACCCATTTGGGGATGTTTTATCATGGCGGCTGAATTTACCGACCGTTGTGCCAAAGATGCTTTGTGTGCCCACCCTGGCATTAAAGTCGCCAAGTACGGTTTTGACATCTGGCGGGGGCAGTTCTCATAGGTGGGCTTCATCTTTGGTTACATCGTCCATTATGAAAATTAATGAAAATATAATTTTTAATACAAAATATTTTAATTATGAAATTCGGGAGGATATGAAATTCAAAGCCCAGAACTCTATCTAGCATTAACAAAGTTGAGCAGAAACAAGTTCACACTCAAATAAAAAGTCCAACCAAAAGTTATTAAAATAAAGAAATATCGTAAGGGTACCTGGCATCAATCGGTCGTATTTAGCTATCATAAGGATCATTGTAATTCAAAATTAATACCTCAATTTATTATAAAAAAATACAAATGTTTAAATCAACTGGTCATGAATCATTAAATAGCAAACCAAAGAATTCTAATATTTTGAATTATTCAAGAAGGCTTTAACAGTTGCAATATAAACATTGATGAAACGAATAAAATAATTAAAATACAACACATTCGTTAACTCGAAAAAGGATGGTTTCCATTAGTTCGAGTTTTCACGAGTATACTGTAGTTCTGATATAATTGGTTCTTTGCTTGAATTGTTCAAAAGCTGGTTATTTAATACGAAATTATTATTCACTTGCACTCAACTGAACATAAAATGATGAGGATTCATAAATTGAATGAGTGCAGGCATCATTTAAGAACGTAAGATTGCTGATATGTGTGTGGGTATAACAAATATATTGCCAGAAAACATAAGATCGATGAATAGCATGAATTTCTTCGAAAGAGTAGATAAAGAAAGTTTTAGACGCCTTCCTCAGCAGCATGATTTCCAAGAGAGAAGATTCTTCGAGGCCATATTCAAATTTAGAATTTTACAAATTTGTATAAGCTCGAAGGTCCTTCTCCGTTACCTGTCTAACATTTGCAATTTCTATTATGGCTCTCATGGAGTATAGAAATATTGCAAGAAAAAAACTTCTGGAATCAAGAGTGGTCAGACAAATTTACCAAGTGTCGCTTCTGATAACATATCTAATATCGTCACATAGTCTGCACCCAATCTTACCCTTAAGGGTCCCAAACACATGCTACTCATGCTATTTCGTGTTAGAGCAGAATGCATACAAATCCATAATTAAACAACCTCCTCACGCTACCGAAAACAATGGTCCGGTTATAATGCAGGTTCCACTAGGAACAGCTGAAACGCTCAACAAACACTATTAATTAAGCTGGCAAGCGTCTATAAAAAATAAGATTAAGGCAACAACTAAATCGCTACAACAAAATTACGTCATATTTAACGGTATTTAGTTAACATAAATTTTATTATGTAGATATACATGTATATATTTTATTTTTAACGACGATTAGCAAACTAGCAGACCATGATTGCTATTGATAAAGGAATTCATAAGCACTTGCCTAAATCATAGTTTAATCCGTCTACTGCGACTTTTTATAATTTAGCAGTAGTATATAAACAAACACACAAAAATATTTAAATGAAAATATGTTGATTTCGCAAAAAAGGAGAAAAATTAACAAAAAGTGAAAAACCAGATTTTTTTTCAACAATACATATCGGAACAGATGGGCGGAGAAGAAGCGACAAATTTTTGCTGAAGTTTTCGAATATGACTGTAAACAAATTAGACTATTTCAAGGCAGACGATGGCCAACATATGAGAGAAAAATATGTGTATGCACATACATGTATAAACATCCGTAAATTATTTATATGTACGTATGTATGTACGCGTGAGCGATAATAAAGTTGGAACGACAAATATAGCAACTAAAATAATCAGCCTCCCATTTGACAGAGCACTGGATACTTGCATACGTATATACATACATACATACATATGTATTTATCAGAAAAGTTTGGTGGCTAATCGCTTGTGGCCAGATTGTTGTCGATTAATTTCAAACAGTTGGATCATACGATATAAAAAACATAAAGTTATACGCGCTCGCCTGCAGTTGTGAAAATCACTTCAAACCCTAAACATATACAAAAGAAGCGAAAAAGAAAAAATTGGCTAAAACACGAAACAGACAAAAAATTATACGAAACATTAACGAAAGCGAAAAAAACGTAAATTAACAAAAATTATATTAATTTTTAAATTGAAAAAAAAAAGTATTCTTAAAGAAAATATAGTTCAGAGAAGCGATCGAAGATGCGGCGGATAAATAGAAAACAATTGAGACCCGTAAGTGTCGGAGTTATTAATTTAACAATTAAAAAGAGAAAATATTAAAACGAAACAAAATATTACAATATTGTGAGCAAATATTGGCCTTAATATGTTAACAACAGTGAAACAAAAATAAAAATATTGTTATATATAAAAAACAAAAACAAAAAATATTAACCTTTTATAAAAATTTTTACTTCTAAATTAATGCGAAGAAGTATTTACACCTGTCAAGTTCTCAAATTAAACTATTTCCAATGTAACTGTGCAAATGACATGTGGCTGCTGGTTTTTCAAATTTACCATAAAAAAGTCGTTATTAACTTCAATATTTTATTATTTTTTTTTTTTAATTTTTTGATAGTCCAGTAAATTTTTAAATTCCCAATAATAATTTTATTTTATTTCCAAACCGAAATTTTTCTAAAAGTTATTTTTGTTTACAGTAATTAAGTGTTAAAATTACAATAAAACTTAATAAAATGCAAAATTTTAGCTCTTGCTTAAAGTGTAAGCATGATATGGAAAAACGCAAAAAAGTCAAACTAGATTTACGAGATATTATTTATAATTTTTTTTTTCAAAGTTATATTATTATTTATAATTCTTTTTTTTATTAAATTATCTGTTAAATTAAAAATGTATATATTTTTTTTTTGAAGCGACTGGTACCAAAAATGTTTTCATTTTATTCACATAAAACTCACAAAATGTGAAAAAATAAATATATTGTCTCATGGTGGGCATTTAAAAAAATGTCTAAAAATTCCCTCATCTTCATAGGTAATCTTTTCGCAAAATAAATACTGTATAATTTCAAGCGCGCAGCACGTGTCTTCGATAGAAACGATGAATAACATAAGCACTTAAAAAGCGTCTACTCTACATATATATAACTTTGTATCTTATGTTATTCTTAAAACTCTTAGTTTTTAGGCCAAAAACAAATAAGTCAAACGAATTCTAGTAATTTTTAACCCCGTAAACGTAGATATTTTTAAACAAAATATATTTTATTTGAAATTTAAATTTGTTTAAAAACCGCAATACAATTATGCAAAAATTTTATAGTTTTAGCATGGTCACAAACGAATTTCATTATTACCAACAGATGGCGTTCTCCAGTCTTAGGCAGATATAATATTCTGTATTAATGCTTAGCATTAAATAAACTTGTCACTGTTCAGTTTATTGTGAAAGTTATGCAATTATTTGTACTTAGTATTTTTTTATTATTTGGTTAAACCAGCATGTTTAATATTAAACCCCAGCCCTAGCAGACTAAACAAATTATTATATACACTAACATATGTACATATATGTGTATCAACTTATTGCCACTTATACTGTTCTTAATGAATCACAGTGTGTCTTTTTAGTATTGGTCTTTATATGCATTACCAGCACAGCGATCAAACCGCTACATGCTGTTCAACTTGGCGATCCGGATGCAGTGATCACGCTATATAATGTGGCACCAGCCGACGACTTGGGTATCTATCGATATGCTTACTCGACGAGTAACGGTATTGCAGTACAGGCCGCGGGCAGCGCACTGGAAGCTATAGGCATATTTAGCTACACCTCACCCGAGGGCATACCAATCGAAGTGCGTTACATTGCTGATGAACTGGGCTTCCATGCTGTTGGACGACATCTACCCCGACCGCCACCAATACCAAACTATATACTTCGTTCGCTCGAATATATACGCACGCATCCGAATGAAGAGGATCGTGGCCGTTACAGGGTCTACAAATAAAATTATATTTGTACGCATGCATATAACAATTATAATTTAAATAGTTTGCATTCTCACATGCACACAGAATATATTTAATCATTAAACAAATCACGGGAACCATTGTGGGCTGCCGAAAAGGCAAATTACATTACCAACGGGTAATGAGCAAATGTTCGTTGGTTGACAAAAGTAATTTAGTAATTTTTATTTAGCAAATTTTTATAGTTAATAATTATTGTAAGCGCATTCAAATACTACATACATACATATGTAAATACATATACACAGAATAAGCAGTGGCCTTTCAATCATGTACTCATTATCTCTTGTAACTAAAAGGCAAGACTTCGAAATTTTTTGCATTATATCGAAAACATTTAACAGCACAGCGCATAAGTGAGGGTTTATGGCAAAGTAGGTAAGTATATTTAGAAGTTTGCTAAAAACTAAAAGCTATATAAGTGAAGTATTCCTGGAAAGCATTATACCCATCTCAGGACTTTTCTTAAGGGGTTAGGGGTAGTCAGAGGCAAGAAAAAATTACAATTTTCAGTATTTTTTTGCTATTAAATCGTGTTATTTTACAAAAGTAGTAATTTGGCATTCTTATAGAATGTGTTGACTTGAAGTCACGAAAATTTCAAAAAGATTTAAAAGTTATAGTTGTTTGTGTTGACCCTGTTCCAAAAAAAGGTACTTGCAGTGACAATCATAAATCCTTGCAGATTCAACTAAAATCAATCGGAGAAAAAAAATAGTTTTATAAATAGATAATCCTGGGCCTGATCGAAGGATTTTTTTCAAAATTAACAAAATGGCGCCCTCAGGAATGTTTTTTCTAAATTTTTGCGAAAGAATCAACTAACTGTTGATGTTGGTCTTAAAAAATATAAATTTTTGAAAAAAAAATCCTTCGGTCAGGCCCGAATTTATTATGTATTCTAAAGTCTATATAAACTTCATTAAAATCTACTGAGCAGTTTTCGAGTTACAGTTGTCGCCAGTTCAAAAAACACAGTTTTGAGAAAAACGCGTTTAAAGTTTCACATTAGCACTTTGAAGTGCCCGAGCTTTCTTTGGTCGAATAACTCAAAAACTAATTTTCGGATCAACGTAAAATTTTCAGAGAATATTCTAAAGATATTACACTTATATAAAATGCAAAAAAAATAAATTTTTTGAAAATTCTGACTATCCCTAACCCCTTAGGAGGGTTTTATAGTCCAGAAAAAAAAAATGGATTTTTCAAAACTTAAATTATTTTCGGAGATATAGGTATTAGGTCTTTTTTAAAACGATATCCACAATTTCTCAGGTTCACATCTCCAAACTTCGAAAAGTCAAATTCCGTAAAAAATTCCAACATAGCGTCGTAATTCTAATCAAAATACTATTCAAATACGGCGAGAACTGACAAAGTCATGCATCAATTTTACAAGATATGATATGAAAGCACACATAATCGGGTACAATCTGCGCAATCCACAAAAAACCGTACAATCTGCGACAATTATCACATATAAGGTCTTATCGACTGAAGTCCACCGTCACTTTAAATCAATGTGACTTAAGACCTGGAAAGTCTACTAACGACCAAATGTTCACTATGTGCCTGACCTTAGAAAAACCCCATGAAATGAAGATCGACACACACCACCCCTTCGTCGGTTTTAAGACCGCCTTCGACAGCACAAAAAGTAACGGGAAGTACCTCTCCGAACTCTTCTATACCAATTGAGGTTCCAGACTAGGAGGCTCCGAAAGGAGAGGTACAATCTTCTATAAGATATTAATGGGTTTGGCGGAAAACGAGAGCAAGATAAAACATATCGAGCATTAAGGCCAACAAATCGAACAAAACTATAGATACTGGGGTCCACAAATACGGTATCTAGCGGCTTGTACAGTTTTGGTAGGATTTGGACATTTTTTATCATAAGTTCGTATACTTTAAAGCCATTATAGTTGCAAAGTTTCATCCCGTTTTATTAATTGTTGCTAGATTTGTATACTGAAAAGTTTTTTTCAGAGAAATCTCATCCCTTGTGTCTTCTATCCCCTATACCAAATTATAGTCTTATATCTTAAAAAAATGTCCGTTATCACGGCAAAAAAATAGAAATCTCAATAATAAATGACATTATTCCATCAACGGTCATTAAGGTTCGCTTTTTAAATTGTGTCAAACATATTTTTTTTATTCAGTCGATTATACAAATTTGCACACTAACTTAGGTGACCCATCCTGTTTGTTATGTTATATTGATTTCAACCTAAAAATTAAATGCAGTTTCTTTATTAACGGGTGTCGTAAGTGAAAATCAAAGCAATATTAATTTAAAAAATCAATAATAATAGAAAAGAAAAAGTAGCAAGAGACATCTGCAGTTGGGAAGACTAATGGCAGAGCCAAATTTAAAACGAGTTTAGTCAAACACGAAAAATAATTGATGTTTTAGATATAAAAAAATCGTTAGAATATTAAAATAATATCACTGTCCAACAAATGAAGACTTTTTGAATGAAACAGAATAGCGACCCCATAATTCTGAAAGGGTATGTTGAGTAGATCATTTTTGTAGAACAAACTTATGGTCCAGCACGTCTGAGTTTTTTTTTACAGTGGGTCAAAGTTTTCATTTTTTGGTCGAAGGGAGCATTATACAATATGAAAAATATTTTGTAAGTTAATGTCTGAGAGAATTCTTATGGTCAGAGTTGTATTGTGGAATTGTATGAGGATTATTTTTGTGGAAGATCTTAACCCTCTAACTGGTTTCTTTATGGGTCAATTTGACCCTTTTTTCGAGAAAATCAAAAAATTTCCTTTAAAGAAGGACATTTAAGGATTAAAATATTCTACGAAAATGTTTGGCGGAAAATTTCAGTGGGGGTCACCAAAGGCACCATTGTTGTAAATAAAGCTCTTTGCGATTGATAAAAAAATTACACGCCAGTATATACAAAGTAGGTGAAAACGTCGTCACGTTCGGCCGGGCCAAACACTGAGTTCTCGCGTCTGGTCAGCTGTGACTTACTAATCGTGTGTGATAAAACTAAGCATAATTGCCTTACTAAGCAGTACATATCGGGTGTGATTTATACTAAACTTAACATAAAAAAAGAACAATTAAAGCTTAAATAAGCATGGCGGATTCCGTTTGCAAATTAAGAGATTGGTTTTGTTTTACTTGTGGACATTTTACGCACCTTCAAAGCTGAAGAAAGATATTCCCTACATTTGAAGAACCATATTTTCTTTTCTTTGGAATACGATTTTTATGTGAAGCTTGGATACCAAAAACTGTATGTACTACTTGCGAAAGTGGTCTTTTGACCTGGTACAAAGGCGGTACCAAGGCGCTGCCATTTTCTGCACCTATTGTATGGATTGAACCTGAAAATCACAAATCAGATACATGCTATTTCTGCGTAAATACATACAAATTTGGTAAAAGCCAAAGGCACTACGCGATAACGACAGACGAAGCAACAAATAATGTAATTTTACCAGAAGTGCGCTGTGAAGGTGTTCCGGTGCCTCAACCGCCTACACATACATCTTCGGCCAATATGACATACGCCAATACAGAAATAATAGCGGCGGTTGAAAACATATCAGATATAAGTTACTTTCCTCCTGGTGGTTTGAACATATGTCCTAATTTGATAGACCAAGCTTATTTTGAAGATCTTGTAAGAAATTTAGGACGAACAAAAGAGAAAGCTGAAATATTATGTTGCAGATTGAAAAAAAGGAATTTGATAAAAGCCGATGTAAAAGTTACATCGCCAAGAAAAAGACACGCCGATTTGGAAAGTTATTTTAAAAAATCAGAAGAGCTTGTATACTGTTGCAGTATTGAAGAGGTTCTAAAATATCTAAAGCTTCCACTGGACTCTTCCGCTTGGCGACTATTTATAGATAGTTCAAAACACGGCTTAAAAGCAGTTTTACTGCACAATGGAAATCAGCATCCATCAATACCGGTTGCGTATTCTACAAAAAAGGAGGAAACATACGCAAATATTTCAAATCTCTTAAATAAAATTGAATACTATAAATATAAATGGGAAGTATGCGCAGACTTCAAAATGATTGCAATATTGACTGGAATGCAAACAGGATACACAAAATATATGTGCTTTCTTTATAAATGGGATTCACGTGCTACCAGCAGCCATTATCATATTAAATATTTCCCAGAACGTAAAGAAAATATTATTGGTGACTTAAATGTAAGCCATGAATCTCTTGTCCCAAAATATAAGGTCATACTTCCACCGCTGCATATTAAGTTGGGCGTGGTGAAAAATTTTATTAAAAGCTTAAATACACAAGGATATGCTTTCAAACGCATTCAAACAATTTTCCCCAGATTATCTGCAGCAAAATTAAAAGAAGGTAAAATACGTTTTTAAGAAATAATTTATTTCATTTTATGTAAACTACCTTTTCTAGGAATGCTCGTTGGACCCGATATAAGAAAATTATTACAAGATGAAGAATTTTATGGTCATCTGTCGGATATGCAAAAGACAGCATTTGACTTTATGCAGCTGGTTATATCAGAATTCCTTGGAAACTCGAAAGCACAAAACTATGCAGAAAATATTGAAAGCATGCTGATCGGTTTTAACAATATTGACGTTAAGATGTCACTAAAGCTGCATTTTCTGCACTCTCATCTCAATTTTTTTAAAGAAAACCTTGGAGCGGTTCCAGATGAACACGGTGAAAGGTTTCATCAGGATATAAAGGTATTGGAAGAAAGATTCAAAGGGAAATCCCAAAGTGTAATGCTTGCTGAATACGTATGGGGCTTGTACAGAAACCTTGACACATCGGAACATTCACGTCAAGCTAAATACAGGAAAGCACATTAAGTTTAATCTTTAATCCATTGTCCTACTACTGCTGAAGCAAAAAAATAAATATGTACATACTATAATAAACCACTATTAAAACAAAATTATAATTTTTTTATCAATCGCAAAGAGCTTTATTTACAACAATGGTGTCTTTGGTGACCCCCACTGAAATTTTCGTAGAATATTTTAATCCTTAAATGTCCTTCTTTAAAGGATATTTTTTGATTTTCTCGAAAAAAGGGTCAAATTGACCCATAAAGAAACCAGTTAGAGGGTTAAGATCTTCCACAAAAATAATCCTCATACAATTCCACAATACAACTCTGACCATAAGAATTCTCTCATACATTAACTTACAACATTTTTTTCATATAGTGTAATGCTCCCTTCGACCAAAAAATGAAAACTTTGACCCATTTTAAAAAACAAAACTCAGACGTGCTGGACCATACGTTTGTTCTACAAAAATGATCTACTCAACATACCCTTTCAGAATTATAATGTCGCTATTCTGTTCCAAAAATGCTGTTGGACAGTGTATTTAGCTGTTGTGTATGTTTATGAAGGTTTATATGTATATGTAGTGTGTATTCATATACATATGTACGAAAGTTTAATTTGAAAGAGATTACTCTTAGAAACATTTTCATAAATTCTTTGACACTCAAGAGGAGGAGTTGTGTAGCACACAGTTGCGTAGTCAAGGTTTGGGGAATCACAATTGGATTAAGGAGAGATACACGTAAATTTTTACACAATATTTTTTCCTCATAAAATCTGAGTACGGACCTTTAAAAATATGTCTCAAAAATCAACCGTTCGCCTCTATTGTTTGCGTTCAACTTTAAACGCGTTTTTCTCAAAAAGCCATTGATTCGTTTTTCTGAAATTTTACACTCATCTTCTTCATAGTAATACTTTCCACATGAGCCAACATGTTTTTAAAATAAAATTTTCGAAGCAAAAACAACCACAATATTAGAAAAAATCTTTTTTTTTTTTTTTTGAGTGCTTTATTTCACGGAACAAATCTTTTTTCACTTATTCATCTAAAAATAAAGACATTAATAAATAAAAGAAAATTGGTTTCCCTTTTCAGATCAATAGAGCCGATGCTACATGGTTCGGAAGAAGTTGGTGTACAGCCGTCAAGTTTTGTTACAATATAAAATATAAATAAATCACACGCTTATTTTCAAAAATATGTAGTAACTCCTTCATTAAAAAAAAACTTATGAAAATCAATTGAAATTTGAGTATTTACAGGTATCTCCCACCTTAACACACTATATACATACATATGTATATAGTTTAAACAATTAGTACTTGACTGTCTAAATAAATGTTTGTGTGAAAAATTGAAAAGTGGAATATTTAATAAACCACTTTGGTGACAACTTTTAATACTTTAGGAGTAAATATGAGTATCAAGGAACTATCTTTCACTCATTTCGATAATTGTTTGGATAATTTATGAAATTATAGTGAGGAAAAATGAGAGTCATTCCACCAGGATCTAAAAGTGTACTATACATCACTTTTAAGGTATTAAGGGAGTTGATGGGATGTCACAAAATAACACAGATTACTGGTGGTTCTTAAAAAGACATACTTACCTGGATTAAATATTATAAAAACAAATACTCTAAAAACAGCTTTATTTAGAAAAAAAACACGTTTTTGAAATTTTTTCTGTGCTTACTTGAATATATCCTTTTTTCAAAACGAAACTGACATAATAAATAAATAATTTTATGATTTTTGTATTACAAAATCATTAATAGTTTCCAGATTTGTAAGTTCAAAAATATCCAATATATCATAGATCTTATATCTAGGACAACAAATTCACTGTAGATTAAACTTACGATAATCTTCGTAAATCTTTCTTACCAGCCATCCCCAGATGTTATCAACAGGACTTACATACAGACATCAGGGGAGCAAGTTGGCCATTCCAAAATCGATATTTTTACGTTGAAGACACGTTTTTATTGACCTGGTCGTTTTGATTCTTGTGTTGTCTTGTTGAAAAGGGAAAGATAACTGTGTATATAGGGTAGAAGATTTTTCTCTAATTCTTCTTGTTACTCGGAACAATTATATTTGGCAAGAAGGTAATGCTAACGGTACTGGCCTAGAATTTGAAAATGTACCCCATCTCCGCAGAGACTTTCTAGTATCAAAGAAAGCTGTCTGGACCGCCATGGTTCAACTTTTTCTCATCGGAAAAAATAACTTGGACCAGAAATTTTATTCTCTCTTTTCACTTTTTGCATTGACGTCGTTTTATATGAGAACTATCGACAAATGTATCTTTCTGTCGCGTGTCAATAATTTCTTTTCGACCTTTGTTCTTCAGGTAATTACACACCACTGTTACCGATATTCCCAAATTCAGAGCAATGGCGCGATTGGTCAAATCCTCAGCATTCAAAGCGCGGCATTCTCCTAATAACTAATACAATTTAATAAAATTAATTTATAATTATAAATAGCACTTATCGGTATGAGTGTTTTTATTGCATGAAATACCGTTTTCAGAGCATTCCGCTTACTACCTACAATAGTAATAAAGGTACTACAACAAAAACCATTGTTTTTATATATAGAATTTTTAGAGTTGTCATAGAGCTTTAATATAACATCATTCGTTCTTGGAATGGGAACACATTTTTTTGCAGTATTTCACAGAAATATATTGCCTTTATAGCAATGGAAAAAAGTGTATATCTCCTCTACCAAATTTGGTCCGTAATATTATATTAACATCCTTAGGGAAAATGGACGAAATCGAACTCAATTGTATAAATTTAGAGCCAATGACGTTATCCAAATAAGAATTTTCACAAATGGTGCTATTAAGGAATGTCATCTCACATCGAAAATTTATGGATTATCGATTCTCAACATTACAAGTTACCCAAAAATGGGTGAAATCGGGTGAAAACCCAGCCCTAAAATACTATATGACTAGTCTATGAGTTATCTTAATGAAAGTCAGAACAGTCTGAAAGTGAGAATGAAGTCATTTTTTCTAGTAATGTAATGTGGTATTGCCAAAATTAATAAAAGCGAGCCCCATATATATACCTAAATACATATAAGAATTTCAAACTTCCGCGTTGGTTTAAGCTGTATTTTGACCGGTAAAAATCATTTTTTTACACGAAATGGGTGTAGCTCAAGGAACTCGTTCGGTTCGCGTAACAAGCTTTAAATAGTTGTGGTATTAGTTGGCAAGTACCGTATTACATTAAAATGATGTTATTACGCAGAATTTTCAAAAATTTAATAAGAACGAATTACAAAATTAAGCTTAAAGTTAATAGGCTTTTTAAATCACCATTATGTGCACTTATTGGTATGCAAATTCATTAGCAAACCCTCTGGAATTCTTACACGTACAGGTAGGGTAAAATCACTTTAGGTAAAGTGTCAAGTATTTTTGGAGAATGAGAAGACACCAATTTGTTTTTAAATGTTTCCTCAATTGAAATATCTATTGTTTATTACACTAATATGAGTGACCCAAAAGCCAAATGCAGAATATGTGGGTAATCTGGCAAGTTTTGTGTACACTTCATTATACCCTGTACAGCTGACGTGGCATTAAGTTTGCCACGAAATTTGTATCACTCAAAAAGAAACGTCGTAAACTCAAAAAATATATGTTGCATTGATTGTTGCCCAAAACAACGCTACAATCTCAGAATATATTATTCATATCAGAGAACTATAACATATAGCTTCCACAGAAACTGACTGATCCAAAATCAAGCAGAAGATATTCTTATTCCCTTATATGCTATAATAAATGCCCTTGTTAAGGGTATTATGGTTCCGACGTAGTCGAAGTTAACGTTTTTTCAAGTTTTAAACTAAACTCGTTTTGAATTATTCATATTTCATATATTGACATTAAAGTGCAGATTACCTAACAGGCATTAGCCAGCAACTTGAAAATCAAACAGACACACATATACATTAGAGTGCACCACAAACAACTTTAAATTTTTTCCTTCGTTACCGTTCAAATATTGTCCGAAATTACGGAAAAAAATCTTGTAAAGTTTGTTCACTTAACATAATTATTAACTGGTAATGATTTGTAATGTAAGCAGGTCTGAATTGATTTTTTGTTAAGTGGACTCGTTTCAAGTTATTTTTAGTAGAATTAGAAGTTAATTTGTCTAATTTTGTTACTAACTCTTTCGCCAAATAATGCCCAAATTTAAAAAAATAAAAACTTTTTTGTCATCCAGCATTGTTAAAAAATCCATTAAAAATAATTTTGTAATACCATTGTGGGTAATATTAAAAAGATTCAAAATTTCGTGATGCTTTTTTGTTGACTTTCATTATTGCTATATTCACGGTATATAAAAAAAATACGTGTAATACTACAAAAATTTTGGCTCGGCCTAAAATGCATGCACATAAATGTACAAAAATATACTTGCGAATTTGTGCAGTTTATTATTAATTATCAATGTTCTTGTCTATTCTATCAATTTAGTACTCGTTGAAGATATATTTCTTCACCTATTTACGTATGTATACATTTGTATTTTAGAAAAATCGATTTTGGATATATTTATAACCATAATTCGTGATAAGAGATTTTGGTAAATTTGCTCTGGTCTATTTTTAAATATTTAAAATAAAATTTAGATTAAAAAAATTAGAAATCATAGACAAATTACCAAACTATCAGTTTTGTTTTGAAAAAAAAAAAGAAAGTTGAAAATAAGCAAAGGGAAAATTGACGAAAACATATGTTTTACTTCGATAAAATCCTTTTATGATTAATTCCTTTTCAAGGACTAGCGATGTACTGCCATCCTATCAACTTTGCTTAGTCTTCTCTTTCACTTTTAGAAAAACATGAACCTCTCTCTCTCTCTGTTTCTTATTATCCTTTCAAAAATTCTCCGAAAATTTGTTCAAAAGCTATAGATAGACTGATATTTGCTGCTTGAGTCTGAAAGTTTATCAGCATATTTTCTCAATTT